AAAAAAAATTAGTTTGAGTCGGCCTGTTTCAGAGATAAAAAATCGTATTGTATAAATAATCACAATATCACCCACTTGTCTGTAAGTAACATAGACACGCTGCAAATAATCACTGCACCTACTGAAGCGTCCAACCGGCTACAAAATGGTATTCAGGGATCCAATTATCCAACCTCATAACCACAGACATTAAATCTGAGTTGGGGAAGTGGCATTGAAAGGCAACTCAAACAAATTTAAAGTTCTACTTTTAAAAATAATTTGATGATAATGAAAAACAAATATATAAATGTGACATTTGACACTGCTAGCGTGGGTGGGGACATACCCCTTCTGCAGTACCCAACCCAAAGCTCAAAGAACCCAAGCTCTTCGCATTTAAGCTGGACCCAGTTGGTGACAACACTCCTTCGACTCAAACTCAAGACACAATCCACTCTCCAGTCCATTCATTATCTGGTTCAAACATCACATGGGTGTACCAAGTACCAACCCCATGTCAACCAGAATTTTGAAACCAGTTCAAACAGAATCACCACAAAAGTTTTATAGAATTCAAACCAAAGGGCTGGGATAAAGTTGAGGTTCTAATCTTTCTTTTCCGATTGTTCTGACTTCTCATCCACTCCCTCCTTCACAGCAACAATAGGCACCTCTTCAGTTGCACTGTCTATAACCTTACGCTGGTTTTCAACGGATGCAACAGGCACCTTTTCAGTTACACTGCCCTCAATCTCAGGTTGGTTTTCAACTGCTGCAACAGGCACCTCTTCACCTGCATCCTTGGCTTTTCCATCTTCAATATTCAGCTGGTTCTCAAGAAGTTCGGCAGCTTCATCTCCCTCCTTACCCTCAGTCTCCGCAATATCAGCTACCTCTTCGAATTTCCGCATGAAGGCCTTGCAATCTGAAAGGAAAGACCGGTTTCAATAGGCATAACAAGATCCTACTGAAATAAACAGTTACTAGAATAAGATGTAAAGATATATCTGAGAGACTTTCTTTATTTTGGCAAGATATATCTAAAAAAGATGGTCCAGGTATTGTACACTCGGTAAACCGAACGTTCCTAGAGCAGCAGCCCATAAAAAGTAGCTCAGCTTAACTCCAATCTTTTA